GACTATCTTGGAAGTAATTAATCATATAGAAATTTTTTTAAAAGTTACATGTAAATTAAATTTAGGACACATTGTAAAATGTGAACATTGAAAAACTGGGAGATTCAAAAGAGAGAATAAAATAGTTAAACTCTAAAATATTAAGGGATAGGATTTGTTGTTGTTTTATACAAAGAGGCCAAGTGTGACAAAATTTTTTATGATCATGAATATGCTAAATAATGTTTTCTTTGCCTCAGAAAAATTCTGGAAAAAGACAGTGGTTTAAATTTAGCTATTGTGGTTGGGGTTATAGAGTGATTTGGAGCTAGAACAAGAGCATTCTTGTGAACACCATTTATTGCCATCTAATCAATGATAAGACTATGTTTAGATCAGTACCTTTTTTATTACTGTAAACTAGCCTTGCAGGTTCAAATATGCGTAGAGGGATTGCACAGTCTACGACCTTGCTCTGCCTGATACCTGTGTGCACACTGCAGTGAGCAACAAGAACAGGTCCTTAACTCTGTAGTGTAGGGAAAATGTCATTTCAGTTGAGTTCAGCTTCTTACAGCCCTTCACTACTGTTTACATTGCTGTGTCTCAGGGGTTTTAGAGAAAGTTAAATCTTCTAGTCAACTTACTTTCTGACTTCTAATTTTATTTTAATAAGTATAGCAATGATAAATTTAAGAAAAATAATTCACATTACCCAAGAGTTGCTTATAAAGTAATTAGTTCACAGTTGCTTTTAAATGGAGAAGCCATTTCCAGAGCTGCACCCTCAGGGTAGTTACGGCTTCTTTGCCTGCTGAGGTAGGAAATTAGTTTTGAGGCTTTTTAATTCTTTGAATTCTGTTGCTTCTTCTGAGCCACCTAGTGAGCTTCATCAGTAATATATCTAATAAAATGATTTTTAAGTAGGAGAGCTAGGATGAATTAAGTGTATGGTACGTGTTGGGGGGAACAACTTCATATCACTTTAGACCACCCTCCCAATTGAGATCCCAGCATTCTCCCGCTCTATTCTTTATATTAGAATATAATATATTATAACATATTATAATATAATATAATAATATAATATAATAGAATATAGATAATATATTATAATATAATATATTATATTCTGGACCATTTTCTCTTCTACTCTAAATCTACTGCTCTAAATATGCTGTCTCTATACATTTTGTTTCTTGTTTTAGGGAAAGTTAAATCTTCTAGTCAACTTACCTTCTGACTCTAATTACTTGTTTCCATTTATTTAAATGCAGTGTGCTCTTCACTAAGTGGTTCATACCTTTGTGTCTGCCACAGCCCAGCATCACACTGTAGCATCTTTCATTCTTGTACTACTTAACCACTCCCTTTGAACTGATCCTACATTTACACTGTATATTCTTGAGGACTTTATTAGGTTAAAATATTTTTGTGGATTTTGATTTTTTTGCTAACTTCTAATTCCTATGAAGTCAGGGCTTTTTCTCAGCCTTCACATGCCCTTCTTGTAACCTAGTGCCAAGTATATACTAGAAGCTCATTGTTTATTGTTGGTTTAATTTTAGATAAATCGATGGAAGGTTTCCGTTGTCTTAAGTGTTTTGGAATGAAAATGTTTCATTATTCTGAGCTCCCTCGAGATTAAATTTTGACAGTGAAAGAGACACTAAAATGGAGATCTGTGGTCATTCTTTTGTTGAAAGGGAGGTTCCATTAGAGGCTACTCAAAAGTCACCAGTGTCCTATGAATAGGAGTAAGTATCCTGAACATATGATACCAGAATGCTTTAAATATTGTGACTCTGACTTCTGTCAAACTCTGAAGAGTAATTTTTATGTAAATATTAAGTGATAATTCAACTTCAAATGACTGAAAAATTATAAAATAATATGTTGAAGGTTATTGCTAACATGCAAAACTTAAATAATAGTGTTACTAGTTTTGCTATTTGAATTATGTGTCTCTGAGTTTAAAAAAAAACAACAGTTGGTTCCTGTACACCATTTCAGAAGGTAGTAGATACAAATGATAAAGCATAATTTATTATATATAGGTAAAATTTAAATGTTATATCTGTATTACAAAAGCTGTCTAACTTTAGGTGTGTTACTTAACCCATCCGAACCTTTTTTTTGTTTTTTTTTTTCCTTGGTTTTTTTTTTTCTTATAAAATTGGAAAGCATAATGTCTTAGCCGGGCGTTGGTGGTGCATGCCTTTAATCCCAGCACTCGAGAGGCAGAGGCAGGCAAATCTCTGTGAGTTCGAGGCCAGCCTGGTCTCCAGAGCGAGTGCCAGGATAGGCTCCAAAGCTACACAGAGAAACCCTGTCTCGAAAAACAACAAGAAAACAAAACCAAAAAAAAAAAAAAAAAAGAATAACATCTTAAAGTTTAGGTTGAGGACATCTATCCATTTTTATGTCACCTTGACACATGCTGGAATCATTTTGGAAGAGGGAACCTCAGCTGAGAAAGTGCCCCCACCAGACTGGCTTATGGGCAAGGGTCTCTTATTAATGTGAAGAGACAAGGACCAAGGCGACTATTAAAATAGAAAGCATTTGACTGGGGCTTGCTTACGCTTTTAGAGACTTAGTCTATTATCATCGTGCCAGCAAGCATGGCAGCATATAGGCAGGCCACTGGAGCAGTAGCTTAGAGGTACATCCTGATCAGCATGCAGAGGGAGGGAGAGAGAGAGAGAGAGAGAGAGAGAGAGAGAGAGAGAGAGACTCTGGGCCTGGCATGGGCTTTTGAAACATTAAAACACACCCCCTGGTACACTTCTTCCAACAAGGCCACACTTCCACTTCCGAATCCTTATAATCCTTTTAAACGGTTGTACACACTGGTGACTAAACATTCAAATACATTAGCCAATGGGGGCCATGGCATTCTCATTCAAGTCACTACAGCAAGACTGTGGCACTTTTCTGTTGGATATGGGAGGGCCCAGCTCACTGTGGGTGGTGCCATCCCTGGGCTGGTGGACCTGAGTGCTGTATGAAAGCAAGCTGAACAAACCCTGAGGAGTAAGCCAGTAGGCAGCACTCCTCATGGTTTCTGCATCAGTTCCTGCCTCCAGGTTCCTGATAATGGACTAGAAGTTTTAAGTTAAAATAGAGCCTTCATCCAATAGCTGAAGGAAGTAGAAACAAACACCCACAGCTAAACACTGAGCTGAACTCTGGAATTCAGTTGCAGAGAGGGAGGAGTGATGAGCAAAGGGGTCAAGACCAGGCTGGAGAAACCCACAGAAACAGCTGACCTGAACAAGGGGGAGCTAATGAACCCCAGACTGATTGCTGGGGAAACCAGCATAGGACTGTTCCAGACTCCCCTGAATGAGGATGTCAATTTGGAGGTCTGGTTAATCTGTGGGTCTTCTGGTATCAGTATTTATCCCTAGTATACGAATGGACTTCAGGAGCCCACTCCACATAGAGGGATACTCTCTCAGCCTAGACATACTTGGGGGGGTCTAGGCCCTGCTCCAAATGATATGACAGACATTGAAGATTACCCCCCCATGGAAGGCCTCACCCTCCCTGGGGAGCAGATGGGATGGGAGGGTTGGTGGGGGACAGGGGAGGAGGGAAGGGAGAGGGAACTGGGAATGACATGTAAAACAGGCTTGTTTCTATTTTAAGTAAAAACAATTTTACTTAAAACAATAAACTCTTTTCTGCCAAAGTTGCTTTTGGTCATGGTGTTTTATCACAGGGACAGGAAAGTAACCAAGACAACATCTAAACCACAGAGCACAATGTTCCCCTGGACTCAGAAACATCTGACCTGCATCTTGTGTTTTGCTGGTGTTTTCCTCCTTCTCCTCATGTTAGAAACAAAGTACTTAATTGAACAACTGAAAATGTTCTCTTCATTTTATGTTGTAGTACTTGTGGTGTGTAAGAAAACTGTTCTTGTTTGGTTAGTTTAGTTGGTTTGATTTGGTTTGTTGTTGTCTGGGGAGGTGTAGTAGAGAAGAGACGATTTCACTGTGTAGCTCTGGCTGACCTGGCACTCACTATGTAGACCATTCCGGCCTGGAACTCGAAGAGATCCCCTACCTCTACTTTCCAATTGAAGGCATGATCCACTATACCCAGCAACTCGCTTGTTTTTATTTTTATTTTTTTTTTTGAGACTTTGTTTTTAGCTGTGCATATTTGCCATTATCTGTTATGTGGGGTTGTGCTCATGAACACAATACCCATGGAGGCTGGAAGAGGGTTTTTATCCCCTGCAGCTGGAGCCACAGCTGGTTGTAAGCCACCCCATGCGGGTGATGGGCACCTAACCTGGGGTCTCTGTGGAAGCATAAGCACTTCTAACCACTGGGCCATTCTCCACCCTCTGCTGTCTTTAGTCTTTACAGTGATCCATTGAGAAAATGTCTTGTCAGTGTTGTTATTGAGAAGATCTCTAAGCAAATCATAAAATAAAAATTTTCCATCATAACTAAAACAGTACTATTACAAATAAAACCATCTTAACCAAGCTTTTTCAGAAATGAAGATTTTTAACTAAAATTTCCTTTTGTTTGAGCCTTTACACAAATGTTTGCAGTTACAGTAGTTATTCACTTTCCTGCTAGGTAGCACTGATTGTGTCTGTCCCTTTGTTAATCAAGGGCAGTTATGTATGGTGCTGTGGATGGCTCCAGGGTAGAGTTTAGACAGAAGGTGACTTAGGCATGTTTTGAAATGCTGCTGGTCCTCCAGCTCTCAGAACTGGCACTTGCTTGGATTTTCTTCGCCCCACTTCTGAAAATTGGTCATAGAACATTTTCTAACATATTGGTCATAGAACATTTTCTAATATATTTGAGACTCCTGTTTCATAAACCTAAGATTAAAGAGACTATTAGCCTAGCACTTGAAGATGTATGTTGATTGACTTGCTTAAATATATGAAACAGATTTGCTGAAAGAAACAAAGATTTAAATTTCTTCATTAAACTGTAGACTTAATGGGTCCCAGATTTTGGTGTCATCTTTTATCTTCTTTGAAACAGGTAGATCGGCACTTGAGAAAACTGGATCAGGAACTGGCTAAGTTTAAAATGGAGCTGGAAGCTGATAATGCTGGGATTACAGAAATATTAGAGAGGCGTAAGTAAAATTTGTGGTTTTCCATCTGTTTTGGAGACTTAGCTGTATCAATCACCAAGGAGACATTTTCTCACAGAAGCCTTTCAAATCATACATGCCCTTTGGTGGTTGGTGGCATCTGGGTCTTATAACCTGGAGTCTAGCATTGAAGTTTTTGAGTCAGAAACACTGAGAGATAATACAAGATGGAATCCCGCTCGTTCTTTATGAAAACATACAGTCTTTCCCTTTTGTATTGTTTTCACTTTGAGATGGGATCTTGCTATATATAAAGCCTTGCTGCCTAGGACTCTGAAGCACTTGATGAGGGAGTATGTGGCTCCACATTGAACACTCCTCCCATCTTTAATATCTGTATATGCTAATATGCTAATCTGATCAGTGGTAAGAAGGAAGAGGCAAAGAAATGCAAGTGCCAAGAGTGAGAAGCAAGTGAAGTCTGTTGTTATGTGCTTAGGCTTTGAGAAAGATTGGGTTTTCCCCCCTTAGGAACTTCTTGACGCTTTGCCTCACCTGTGTGTACTAAGCTTTCCATTGGTTCCATAACACTTGCTCTTTTGTTTCCAAAATCTCCCTTTATCAGAATAAGTCATGCTAATTGATTTATTTTATTATTTTTTTTCTTCAAGATTCAACTTGGTGTGCTCTGACTTAGTACCAAATACTTTCTGGGCTTAACTCTGGAGACTTCCTCAAAATGTGAACAAACTCAAAATCTCGGTTTTTAACTGATTTAGGATCTCTTCCAACCTAGATAGGTGAAATAAAAGCAGATAGTTTGGTAATAGGGTCAGATTAGGTAGGTAGTCGCTGAGTATTAAAGGAGATTACTATGAGAATTCAATTACAGTGTTCCAACAGACCATGTACCCTGGTACATTTACCAGCCAGAACTTGTTCCTATGTCTACAGCAGATAGTGGTTTTCTGGACTGCAAGGTACCTAAGCTCTATGTTTACCAGACACGAGAGGCTCATCTGGAGAAGCAGGCATGTGTCTGTTAATGAGAATGGCAGTTTTAAATGTAAAAGTAGATCATCACTTCACACAGTTATCTTCTCTAGTGGGGATACCTTTATTCTGGAGGAAACCTATCTGAGGATAATAGGTGTTAGAGAACAAAATGAAACATTGTGTAACTGCCTTTGAAGTGTTTTGTTTTTCTTTTGGAAATGCTGGTGGTGAATACCAATAACCCATGCCTGCCTACTCACTGCTGCAGAAAGGTTAATAAAACATTGACTCCAAGGACACATACACATGAAATGGAACCAAATCACATCACAAAAAACTGCTCCATTCTGCCCCCTGACATGATTTTAACTCAAGGAATCGTGAATAAACTCAGAAAATTTCTTTAGAAGTATTTTCAAGTTTGGTATTAGGAATTCTACCCTCTACTTTTTGCAAGCAAAGTCCCTAAGTTCTTTTCTGGAGTTGTCGGTATCTCATTTGGTATTCATGGTTGAAGGGATTTCTTAGTATGCATTGATACCCCATACCTAGACCTTCAGGATTACCTATTGAAAGGTCTTCAGCTCTGTTACTAGATTGAATTTTTTAGCTCTTGCCATCACACCTCTTTATATGGTACCCAGAATCAAAGATTCCCTAAGTAGACATTAGCACTCAAGTAGACTTAAGCTCTTGTGGACCTAAGGTGAACACTGAAAGATGAGTCTGACTGCTTAGAGAGAAGGTTGTTCAGGATAAAATTGAAGGTTGTGACCCTCTTCATGCCTAGCTAAAATGATATGGTATGCACCAGAGCGTGGCTGTCATCTGTGAGAGGACACATTGTTTATGGCTGGGTGATGTGTCCAGAGCACCAGAGCGTGGCTGTCATCTGTGAGAGGACACATTGTTTATGGCTGGTTGATGTGTAAAGTCCTATGATGACATTTAATCCTTGTTTGTCTCTGTGCCCCTCTCTCTAGGATCTTTGGAATTAGATACTCCTTCTCAGCCAGTGAACAATCACCACGCTCATTCACACACTCCTGTGGAAAGTAAGTTTGATTCAAGTACAATTTAAAGCTCATTAATGTTGTGTATATGTCTTTTATTAGCTCCACATAACCAACTGAGAAGTATCCTTCCCTTTCCCTTTTTAAAAAATACATTTTTGTCACAGTTGACTTTGCGATTTAAGCAAAGTGCATTTAATCTGAGAACAGGCAGTCTCTTCTATAAATACAGAGACAGAATATATAGAAACACCAGCGGCATCTCTCTGCTTCCTACAGACCTGAATTATATTTCTTCATATGGCTATGTCTCAGTCAGCCTCGCCTCTAAATGCTTAGCCTAATGTTTAGCATGTAATAAAGTCTCACTACCAATGAGTTAGTGAGTAAAAGAATTGTTGGATACATGGCTAGTTGATGGTGTTGCTGTCTTTTTTTTTTGGACAAGAGGAAAGAAAGGTAAATTGAAAGCTATTCTGAATGACAGGCAATATATTAAAATAGACTTCCTCTCATGGTATATGTGAAACCATAGTGCATCATAGGTTGTCTTTAGTATTTTGCTCCTATAAATTTCTAAAGTCCTTGAAGTGTCTGCTCTCTAAGTGAAACATGTGCTGTGGGCTGTTTGCTTGCCCCCTCCTTGCTGAGCATAATGGCCCATTTCATGGGGAACCTAGATCAGAATTATGGTTTATAAAGAGGTGGAAGTATTATGCCCAGTTTGTAGTCCTCTAAAGTTTAAAACTGTGTGAATTCTTTCTTTTTATTCAGAAAGGAAATATAATCCAACTTCTCACCATACAGCAACAGATCACATCCCCGAAAAGAAGTTCAAATCTGAAGCTCTCCTGTCCACCCTCACGTCTGATGCTTCTAAGGAGAGCACACTGGGTAAGTTGGTGCTCTTCAGTGTGGTAATTCCCTTGTTTTGTTTGTGTTGGAGTAAGGGCACAGAGAAGCACTCAGGGTTATTATTCATACCTGTGTTACCTGGCTAAAGTCTGCATGTGGATGGAGAATAGAAAAGGAAATTTGGCTTCCGTTTTTTCCATTGACTCAATCCCTAAAGTGCCTGAAGAATTTAAATTTCATGATTATATATGCTGAAAAATAATGTATTTTAAACCCGCAACATTGTGTTCTCAGCCCCCATTTTTATTTCTTTACCTCTTTACAGGTTGCCGAAATAATAATTCCACAGCTTCCTCCAACAATGCTTACAATGTGAATTCATCCCAACCCCTGGCATCCTATAACATTGGTTCATTATCTTCAGGGACTGGTGCAGGGGCAATCACCATGGCAGCAGCTCAAGCAGTGCAAGCAACAGCACAGGTGAAAAGTCAAAGGTTTAGAGGCAAATGTTACCTTTTGCTCCTGTTCTTGGCAACCCCCAATAGGAACCACTAGGTTCGAAGTGACGGGTTGAAGACATTGCCTGGTTTCGGTTTGAAGTTGACATTTAGGCTGGGTGTTGTTTTATTAATAATGCAAGGGGTTGTTGGGTAGAGAGTGCACTGTGGGTATCACACGCCCACCTTCTCCCAGTCAGTGCTCAAGTAGCCTGGTTCTCTTTGTGAGGACAGTGACTGTTCTTTCTGCAAAGTTAGGCTTCTGCTGGATTTGTGGTGGCTGCATTTAGCTCATTTCTGTAGTTTGCACACAGTGCAAGTTAAGAAGTTCCATTTCCCATAGTTTTTCTCAACTTAGCATAAAAATGATTTAGCATCTTTACATGAAATGACTTAAGTAACCATAACTTGTAATGCTTAAAAGAGAAAATACATATTTACATATATTAATGCTGTCAATGCCTGTCTACTTAAGATGAAAGAAGGACGAAGAACATCAAGTTTAAAAGCCAGTTATGAAGTGTTTAAGAATAATGACTTTCAGCTGGGAAAGGAATTTTCAATGCCCAGAGAAACAGCTGGCTATTCCTCCTCATCGGCACTCATGACAACCTTAACCCAGAATGCCAGTTCCTCAGCAGCTGACTCGAGAAGTGGCAGGAAGAGCAAGTAAGTTTTGGAGTGGAAGTGTGTGCCTTTGCTCAGTGCTGTTTGCATGGAGCCTCAGCTGGGCCTTTAGGAATTAAGTAAGGCAGGGTGCAGTGACCCAAGCAGACTGCTGGCGTGGGCAGATGGCTGGTGGCACTGCCTGACCTTGAAGGCTGGCAGTTGTTTAAGTGTTAAAGTCATTTGTAATTTTTTTGGACTTTGCATATAAGTGACTTTTTTTTTACTTTCTTTTGTTCAAGATAAACCATTTTATGGTACTGTTTCCATTTTTAGGTATTTCATGGTTAATTAATATAAAATGCAAATTGTATTCCAGGAAGTTTTTCCTTTTGATTAACAGTAAAACATCTAAATTTTTGCTGATGTCCTGAAAACTGATTACATGAAAATGTCCCTAGATTTGGTATGTGAGAGACTTAGGGTGATTGTGTGAACTGTGGAAATGAAACTTTGCCATGTTCATCTAAGGTAATAGATACAGCAGGTATTTATACAACTGAAATTCAAGCCAGGAGTGGTTGGTGCCTAGTACTTGGAATGCAGAGGCAGGAGGATTACTTTAAATTCAAGGCCGGCCTGATCTACATAGGAAGTTCAGGCCAGCTAAGGCTACAGAGCAGACGCTATTATCTGAAGATAAAAAAAGGTGCAAGTGCTAGGCCAAAAGAATTAATTATCTTACAGGAAACAGTCCACAGAATCAACTAACCAGGGCTCCTAGAGGCTCAGAGAGACTGAACCTACAATCTGGGAGTATACATGACCGTGGGATCGGAGGCTGTCTCTGGCTTTTTTTTTGCCTACTTTGGGGACCCTTTTCCTCCTGCTGGGTTGTCTTGTCCAGCCTTAATATGAGGGGATATGCCTGGTCTTATTGCAACTCGATATGCCATGTTTGTTTGATACCCAGGGAGGCCTGCCCTTTTCTGAAGGGAGACTGAGGAGGAGTGGACCTGGGGGAGAAGAGAGGTGAAGGGAGGAGAGGTTAACTCCTATTGGGAGTCTTCTTATGAGAATAAATAAAAAGGAAAAAGGAATTATCTAATAATTGTATTTTAATTTTATTTTTAAATGTATTACTTCTCTGCAAAATTCCTGAAAGACTAATCAGTGTAAAATATTCACAGAACTATTATATATATTAAAATTTATAGAATTGCCCAAATTTAATTTAACTCCTTATAGTAAGTTTCTGCATTTTAGAACTCTTGAATAGAGTTGGTGGTAAACAATTCATGAATTTTGACAATCTCAGCTCCATGTTCTAGACATGGTAGGCATAGGGCACCTACCCCTGATGTTGTAAGGATTTTTACCAAATACCAAATGTATATTTGCATTTAGGATTTTGATGAGAACTGTTCAGTTTACTGTGAAAATATAATATGATATAGTATAGCTACTACCAGAAGTTTTAAGTCAACAATAAATAGTAACTTTAATTTAGAAATTATTTTTAAAAGTTGAAAACATTTTAAGAGAATTTTCTCCTATTTATTTTAAATAGAGCATTTTAAAGTATTTTCTTCTCATTATTTTTATTCTCCAGAAATCAAAAATTGTAAATAAAAATAAACTATTACCAACAGTGTTGCTTTTCTTTGCTCTGGGAAGTTGCTTCTGAATGAGATTCTGTAACGTAGCATCAGGCATCAATGTGTCCTTTCCTTTTATGTCAGTTACTAGGAGTCAGTCTTAGGGGACCAAATGTGATAATAAAACTGATCTTTAATTTTATTTCCAGAAACAACACCAAGTCTTCAAGCCAGCAGTCATCTTCCTCCTCTTCCTCTTCTTCCTTATCTTTATGTTCGTCATCTTCAACTGTAGTACAAGAAGTCTCCCAGCAAGCAACAGTAGTGCCCGAATCTGATTCCAACAGTCAAGTTGACTGGACCTATGACCCAAATGAACCTCGGTACTGCATCTGCAATCAGGTAAAAGTCTGATGCCTGTCTGTAAAAGTGCACAGAATAAATAAGAAGGAAGATAACTGTTCCATTTCCAGCACATTTTTTATTCTAGCTAACATCAAGAATGACTTATTTGCATAATTTTCCTCTTATAAAAGTAACATACTTGTTGTAAATACCAAGAATATAATCGTGAGTTACACAGAATGTCAGCCTTCCAATACAACCTGTAGTGAGACACTTTGATGTCGTACCAGTGTGTACCTTGCTATATCTTGGCTAATGTAACATACTACTAGCCAAGTGGCTTACCCAGCAGAAACTCATATCATGGTTCTGGAGACAGAAGAAATCCAAGATTATGGTGCTTGTTGATTAGGTTCTTAGTAAGACCACTCTTAGTCTGAAGACCATTGCCTTTTTAGCGAGTGTCCATGGATGAGAGACAGGGGCATCATACTGTACATATGTGCAAGCATATGCCAGCTTCATTGTTTCTTCTCATCAGATTTTGGCTTTATTTAACCATAACCACAGACTCCTCACAGACTCAATCTTCAGTTATATGGGGTTATGACTTCAAAATAGTAATTTTAAAGGAATACAAACATTAATTCCCTATCAGTTATATACACATAATATATATGGATATGGTATGTTTGTATGTCTATGACATAATTTATCTTTTGCTCACTAAAACAAGGTTCTTTTTAAAATTTTTTCAAAGCTAGCTCTTGTGCTTTGTACCATAATTATTTAGTCTGTACCTAGCTGTAGATCATGTTACAGTTCTCATTTCTTTTAAATCACAGATATTATAAACATTATTTTTTAAAGATTTATTCATTATGTATACAGAGTTCTGCCTGTATGTATGCTTGCAGGCCAGAAGAGGGCACCAGATCTCATTATAGATGGTTGTGAGCCACCATATGGTTGCTGGGAATTAAAATCAGGACATCTGGAAGAGCAGCCAATGCTCTTAACCTCTGGGTCTTATCTCCAGTCCTAAATATCATTTTTAATGTAATTCCTTTTATACTAACTTTATATTAATCCATTCAAGTATAATGATGTTATAAATGTTTGATATGGTTTATCAAGATATATGTGCGTATACACATACACACACACACACACACACACACTATGTAAAATTGATATGCATAGCATTTCCTAAAGCCCAGTCAAGCACTATTATTTTTTTCTTAAATACAATGCACCAATTTGAAATTTTTGTATTACATGATCATTTTAGTGGGCTTTAGTATGTGTGCCTTTTAAACCATTTTATATTCTTATAAATTAACTTCTACCAGAGTTCGCTGTATTTTCTGTTGTTTTGTTATGTATGTTATTAATGTTTTGAGAGGCCCTATCTCAAAACACTACCTGGAGAGTCATTGAGGACACCTGCCTTCTCCCTCTGGTCTCAGTAGTAGACTCAGATGGCCTGTTGATGCAGAAGTGACCCAAGAGGAATAAAATCAGTCACTTGGTAGTTAGAGAGAAAGAAACTTTACAGTTTTACCATGAGGACTACCCCCACAAATCTGATCCTAGTCTGGGTGGCATACCTAGTGAATTCATTTAGACTTCCAAAGAGCCACAGTTCCTGGGCATATCCTCCTGCATTGTCCCATCGTCTTTTAAGAAAGACAACAACAACAATCACCATATTCCCAACTCCTTCGCTGTATTTTCTCTGTGAGTTTCTATCTGTTCTCTGACATCGTAAACACCTAATTTAGATTAGATACTTGTTAAGTAGTTATAATAAATTTGTCTAATTTTCTTTCAACTAGGTATCCTATGGTGAGATGGTGGGATGTGATAACCAAGATGTAAGTATTACATTTTCCATTTTGGAATGTAAAAAGTTGTAGATAATTGAATATTTGTCTTATTAACTATAATCTTCCAATCTGAAAATTGGGTTTTTGTTTATGATAACTATGTTATCATGATGGGAGCATCTACATGTCTACAGCAGGATTAAGTCCCTTCCTGAGTTCCCTGCTTAACGGTTTTCAAGGAAGTGTTACAGTGCTAGGTTCAGATTAAATTCTCAAGGTTTATTTCTGGCAATTCCAAGTGCTTTCCTTTCTTTCAGCTAAGATACAGTATTTGCTAAAGTCCAGGCCATTTACCACATTGAAGAAATGAGACTTTAAAGCCCTACATTCTTGTAGGTAGATGATGTCTGGGAATAATGAAGGCCTAATGGGATGTTGTTTCTCTCTCAGTATTGCAGCATTCAGCATTCCCTCCACCAGGGATTTATGCTGGTGCAAGCCATCTCTTCTCTGATGGGAAAATAAGAGGCAATATGAAGGAAGGTACTCCTGCTTCCTCTCTTAGGAGGTGTATCAGTTACTTGATAAGAATGCCCTGATGCAGAACAACTTACGGGAGGGAAAAGTTCTTCTTGCCTCACAGTTCCAGAGGGATACAGTGTGTTGTGGCAGGGGAGGCATGGCATCAGGAGTATGTGGTTGGCCTGGCCATCAGGAAGCTGCCTGATACTAAATAGTGTGCCCACACATGGGAAATAGAAAGGGGACAGCTAGCAGTAGTAGTAGCAGGGTATAAAACCTCCAAACCTACCCCCAGTGAAGTATTTTTAGCAAGGCTCCCTCTCCTAAAGATTGTAGAAACTTCCTAAACAGCTGGGGGCCATCTGTTTAAACACAGGAGCTTATCGGGGACAAACACAAACCACAACAGGGGCTTAATTTTGGTTAACTGCCTTACAGAAGAACCCCCTCTTTTAACCTCGAGGAGTACCTTGAAATCTGTGGCAGTAGTGACGCCAGTGGTATTGGAATCCTAATCTTACCAAGAGTGGAATTGTAAAATAGTCTAAAGAATAGCAAAGATGGCCTTGGTGCGGTGACAGTCATGTGTGTTTCCTCCCTGACAGGGTGGGTACAGTGTGTTCTTTAGATGGGCACAAGCCTTGAGCAGTTGGGGGCAGGGAGCTCCAAGCAGGGCTACCCCTACATTTCCAGAGCAGCACCCTGTTAGGTCTCTGGCAGCTAGAGAAGATGCTGACTGAGAGCCCATGTCCTCTGGGGTCCCGCTGCTTCCTCCTGTGCAGTGAAGTCTCTGAATGTTTCACAGAGTATTTTCCCCATATCTCTGAGTAGAGCACCAGAAAGGAAGCACAGCCATCCCACCTGATGTCTTTAGTTACCGATCACTCATTCCACTTCCTAAGAGAACAATTATGTCTGAATATCTTTAAATCTTTCACGTATTTCCCTTCTTCATGTAAGATCCATCTTCCTCTGTCCTTGGAGGTTGGTTCTGTCTGGCTGTCCAAGTTGATGACGCGGAGTGAATGTTCATTCTTTAGTGTTCAGGTCAGAGAAGCCTAGAGCCTCCTTTTTATCAAAGAAGCATCCTTTCTCTGGGCTTCCATTTCTTCGTCCATGAGCTGGATCAGCTCGGTAGCCTCTAAGGCACAGCCAGGATCCAAGAAATATGATTTCATAAATCTAATTTTGGTCAAATGAAATACTCTGTCTCCTGAGAGTTTTTTTACTGTCTATTCTTTAGACGTAACAACACTTTCAACACTTTTTTTTTTTTTTTTTTTTTTTCATTTTGCTTTCCAGTGTCCAATAGAGTGGTTCCACTATGGGTGTGTTGGCTTGACAGAAGCGCCGAAAGGGAAGTGGTACTGCCCACAGTGCACCGCTGCCATGAAGAGAAGAGGCAGTCGGCACAAATAGAGTGCTTCCCGGAGGAAGGAAAAACTGCAGCTTGGCATTTTATTCAGGACTCTAGAAAGAAAGACACGAGAAAGAAGAAACAACTCATTTCCAGGCAACCACTTAAAGGATTTACATAGACAATCCTATAAGATCTTGAACTTGAATTTTATGAGTTGTATTTTAATAATGTAAGTAAATTATTTATGCACTCCTGGTGTGCTATGAATATTATTCCAGTTAGCCTTGGATTATTTCTGTGGCCAACATATGCAGACATTTGTACTCCTCAACCATTTTCTCAAAGTAATGGGCATTCTATAATTTAGACTTCAAAGAATTCCAACGATGAAGATTTTAAGAAAGTATTTTATATTCAACAGGTATATTCTGCTGCATGTACTGTACTCCAGAGCTGTTATGTTACACTGTATATAAATGGTTGCAAAAAAAAAAAAAACAAAAAAACAAAAAAACAAAAAAAAAGTCAGTCCTTCTAAAAAGGATTTAAGATAATGGTTTTTAAGATGCCTTTATAATAAGCTTTGTTTCTTTGTGAAACTCATTCAGCAGGCTGAAGGAATTGGTTCATGTGATAAAGTGGGCTGGTGTCCTCTAGAGTACCTGGGTACATAAACAGAAACTCCTGTAGGTGAAACCTGATTCGTGCCATTAGTCTATATGTTCTGCATCCAGATAGAGTGCAGCTCAAGAGGGTGGGGGTGGGGGCCTCTGGGGGAAAGGGCGTTAAAGTGATACATTTTTATACCAAATGTGTTTATTTTTTTGTGCGAGTAATCCTTAAATTGGAATTGTATTAGGTGTTAAAATAAAGTTTTTAAAAAAATAACTTGTATTTATACTTTACACACTTAATTATGAAAATTTCTTAATTGCAATTTATTTCTAATTTTCATAATCTGAAAAAGATTAGCGGTTAGCATGCAGAATGCTATGTAATCTATGATTTCTATAATAATGGTTGGAAATTGTGTTATGAGAATAAGGGAAGGACATTTTTAATGTAAATTCAAAAGTGTCAAATGTATTTTTCTAAGATATTTCTCTGGCTTTGCTTTGAATCTAAGGGATAAAAAAGAAACCTAATTACAGCAGATAAAAATAAAAATAATGACTGTAGATGTTTGGATTGGAAGCAGTGTGGCCAATATGACTAAGGAGACCTTAAAACTTGGCTCTGTTTAATTCTATGACACAGTGATGTGGCAGTTAATTCAAGTCTTAATCACTCTGGGCTTTGTGAGACAGAATAACGGTGGTTGCAGGATGTCTTCAAGGCACTCCTAAGGCCTTTTCCTGTGGGTGCTACTGAGATGATGGCCTGCACAGAGTAGAGGGTTTGTTTAAAATGTGTTCGGTGTGATGGGTGGGAAAAATTGTTCAAACTTCAAAGATAGTTATTATATCATACTTCCTTTCTAGTGAAATGTATGAAGTCCAAAAGATTTGTGTTCTAATGAAGCCTACTTGTGAATATTTTAGAATTTAATCAAAAGGTAGTGTTAAATCTGTATAGTGCTACCTGAAGGGGAGAGCTTTGATAGATTTTAGGAGTTTTGTCTAGCTCTAAGATCTTGGGACACTCAACTTCTGCAGGCTAACTTTATAACTGCCATTGGCCCTAAAGGAAGGTTCATGTGGTCCTTAGTATTTTATCTCATCGAGGGTGTTATGATTTCATGATAGTGTTTTCAGAAGCCTTTAAGTCATGTATACAATTGTGTTCTGTTAGCTCAGTCGTATGCTATCTGAAGATGCTTAAAGGAAAGGCGTTTACACCCTTTAGTCATACAGTTTGACTGTTCAAGCTCATTTGCTCTATGAGAACTGGCTAGAGGAAATCACCTTATTTTAAGAGAAAGTACCTTGTCAATCAGGGCATCCCTCCATTCATTGCTACTGCTCCTCTCACTTTCCAAGTACTGCCTACTGAGTCATTTAGAAAACACGTTAGCAAGCTTTGAGGTCAAGCATTGAGTATCTCACCAACTATATATAAAGAAATGTGCCAAACTTTTACATTAAATATTTAGAAACAAGTAGAACCTGTCACTAAATTATATAGCTGTGTATATGTGTATGTACATACATACATATATGGCTAAACATAGAACTACCTCATTAAAGCAATATGGCCAGCAATTATTATTCTTTGTTACATTTACACCAAGGACATTCAGAATCTTTGTTGTACAAAATTTGTGTTACAGTGGGTGGCACAAAAGGCCCAAGTGTGAGTTCACAGTTTCTAGGTGGTGAAAAAAAGGAGGCCTTACTGCTGTAGTGTATATTTAAATGTTCATGGTGACACGTTTGAAGCAATAAATGGCTTAATTCAATGCCTACATGAAGCTGAGTGTTTGATAACCTTACAGTCTTTCTTTTTTTTAAGGGTTAGCCAGATTTTTGGCTCATTTCTTTCTTAAAGCACACTTAATGTATTTTAGGCTTGTAAAGATGTTAGGTTTGTATAATGTTGGTCTTTTGCCCCTGGACTTTAGAAATAGTTTTCTTTATTCAATTAATTAACTTGAATCTCACACAAATCATTGTTAAATTTGGATTATAAGAGGCAAGCTACTTGGTATGTGCACACTGTGGTTTTCTTTCTCACATTAAAATAAAACGTTCAGCAAACAGGCTTTAAGAGAAAAAAACTCAAAAATATCTATATAACTTTATAAATGTTAAACACTTAGATGCCACGAATGGCATTCATTAAGGAATGTGTGTTGTTGATCAGAGATGCTGACAAATACTTGTAATATCTTGGTAAATGCTATGATATTATAAAGAAAACCACTGTGGGAACCCAAAGGATGAACCCTTTGAACTGTGTCCTGAGGAATGCATATGCATTCTAGGAACACCACTGATCTTCAATGTGTAGACCTGAAGGAGATAGATACAATGTCCTATCTGCCCTATAGGTACAAGGTACAATCTGTCCACTGGTTCATTAGTTTGACATCACGGTATAATGTCAGTCATTGTAGCTGGATAAACTACCCAGATGACATTCTCGGTGCCAGTTTCAGAGCTCTTGATCTGATAACTGCATTTAACTGTGACCCACAGAAGCAAAGGTAGTCTAGCAACCAGATTTAGTATTTCTGAGCCTACCCTGCATCTAAGAATCCAGAAGCTGTGCAGCAGTTGATGTAAGAAGGGTATTTTACTTAATAAGAGATAGTTTGTAATAGAAGGGGCGATATTTACCTCTTGTTGCTTAACCATGATAATGATTAAAAATCATTCATAACAATTAAAAAGCACAGGTGTCTTCAAAGTAGCCTGTAAGCTTGGAAACTGCTGTTACATTTAAACTAGATATTTACCCTATTTTTTAAAATTTGTGTGTGGGGGCATACATACATACCACAGTGTGCACATAGAGATCAGAGAACAGAGAACAACTTTGTGGAGTTGGTCCTGTGGAAGGATTTCTCACACCACCAGCCCCCAAATCATAACATGGAGACTTACTCTTAGTTATAAACGCTCAGCCTTATCGTATGCTTGTCCCACTAGCTCATAGAACTTAATTTAACCCATTTCTCCTCATCTGTGTTTTGGCTAGGGGCTTTTTACCTTTCTCTCATTCTGTATGTCCTTCTTTCCTGCTTCTCCATGTCTGGCTGGCTAGCAGCTGCCTGGCTAGCTGGCTCTGGGCATCTCCTACTCTTTGTCACTCCTCTCTTCTCTCTTGTTCCAAACCTAGATCCCTCTCCTGTTCATTCTCTCTTCCCATCAGCCCTGCCTATCCCTGCACTGCCTTTTAGTTGTTCAGCTTTTTATTAGACCAACCAGGTGCCTTAGGTAGACCGAACAACACACCTTTATGTTGTTAAACGAGTGCAGTATAAATAAATGTGACACATCTTTACCTAGTTAAAGTCATATTCCACAACAGGGTCTGTCCTTCCACTTTTATGTGGATTCGGGAGATCTGATCTCGGCCACCAGGCTTGCAGGCAAGTGTCTTTACCCGCTGAGCCATCTGGCCAGCTTCACCCTCAGTGAACAGCAAATAGAAATTGCAAGTCAAGATTTATAAATTTCTGTACTTACAAAAGAATCTAAATGGTCAAGTCAGGTTTTGATGTTGACCTAATAAAATATTTGGGATTTGATTCAGTTAGAGAAAGGTTGGTTTAAAGATGAGTTAGCTTTAGGGTTTTGGTTTTAATTAAAGTTTGATAAGGAAGAACTATATTCCTTTCTGCTTGTTTTAATGTGTTAAGTCACACCTGCTTTATGAGTTCATATTATAACTGTTTGTTACAAGCTTCAGCATGATTAGAATTCTTACTGGAAAGAACTTTAATAATTTCCTTCCTGGGATCTGCAGAGCTGTAGAATTCAGTCTTGGCTAATCTAGTGCTCCTCCCTAGTTTCTTCCCTCCCAACAGAGGAAACTAGAGAAGAACATTAGAATTCATTTTGTTATTTTTCTGTTGTTTAAAAACAACCTGAACATTTGCTGGGACAGAGCAAAGATGAGTTCACATAAGCCGTTGATGGGTTCTCATTGCCATTCCCCACAGCCACTCACCATTGTTAGGAAGTAGTAATCACTCTGCTTAGGAAGCTGTGTGGCTGGTGGTTTTAAAGATAGAAAAATATTTTCAATAAAATATTGACTAATTTGTCTATGGCCATAAAAAAAAATTAAAGTGCTTACAGCTCTTAATACAGTAGCAGAGAAAAACAAAACAAAACCCCTGGTGGCCATGACATTATGCTTTGCTTTGTTAGGTCACCTCAGCAGAGTCAGTCTTGACACTGGGACATTAAAATAGGAACAATTATAGTAGGTTGTTAAATGACAGGAAATGGCTGTACTTGATAAATGCAATGGAATAGTTCAGCCAGGAATGCTTCTGTGTACATCTGAGTGTAAATACGAGGCACCTGCTAATAGCTGGTCGTAGGTTTTAGTTTGTCTTCCTTTGTATGTCATATCAGAATTTACCAAAATATATGTCCATGTCCTTGTATATTGCTCTGGAATGAAGCAATTATTTTCTTGAGTGTGAGGAACTGATTATAAAGACAATTTGTTCTGGATTTCCCAGTTTGCCCAGAGTGCTTTTCTTTTACTGATGTTTGTCATTAGCAGATGTTTTAAAGAGAAGTCAGGTTTTCTGTTGAAAAATAATTAAGCATATGTATCAATCTTATGGTTTGGGTTTAGAAGTAGAAGGGATCTTTGTGTCAGGATCACATAGCCAAAAAAAGCCAGCCCCATTCTGTCCATGAATGCTACCTCCCTATTCACTCACGTGTCCTAAATGAAGGCCAGCAGGCCAGCATTCCTGAGCCGCCAGACAACCTATGGCACCTCTCCACACCACACACACACACACACACACACACACACACACACACACACACTCAACTTGTGACAAGTTCAATGCTATAAGAGTCTTAAAATACCTTTATTTTCAGAAAATGGAGATAGA